CCGCAAAATCGCAAAAATATCATCCTCACAGAAGTATCCTTCTATACGGTAAGTCTCTCCGTGGAATGGGAATATTCCTGAGTTATAAACTATCTAGTTGCTGACTTTACTATAAGACATTACCTTTAAACTCGACTAGTAGAGTGATGGAACAGTAAGATCTAATTTGTATTTGACTCCAAGTACGGTAGACCTAATCATGTGCTTGAAAAAAAATACTATGGTTACCTAGTTGTATTGTTAATGTCTACAGAGTGCCTGGTCCCTCATCATGCTGGTGACAGGAGGACTGACTACTTTGATGGAATTCATCCAGATTTTCTCTACGATCCTCAGTATATTTGTTATATCTGCTCAACTGTATCTACGCATGACACATCCAAACATCAAAAGACCATTTAAGGTAAGCTGGGTCATTTCTAATGTTTAAAGGTTAAAGCTATAGCCTTACCGGTGTAACAGTCAATTCTTTCCCCCGGGCAACATTAGCTAGAGGTTGGGTGGGGGGAGGGGGGAATCAGGTAGCTGATTATTTTCCCCAGGGTAAACCTGAAGATGGTAAAAAATGACTACGCCTATAAAAAGTTTCCAATTCCTACTAAGTATGGCAGTGGTACAGTGATCCTCTGAAAGTAAATTAAATCTGACTGACTTAGAATTAGTTACAGTTGAATAGTTAACTGATTAAGATTAACCTAGTTATAACTGATTAAGATTAACCTAGTTATAACTGATACAGACTTACCTAGTTATTAACTGGTTAAGACTAACCTAGTTATAACTGGTTCAGACTAACCTNCTAGTTATAACTGGTTCAGACTAACCTAGTTATAACTGATTCAGACTAACTGAGTTATAACTGATTCAGACTAACCTAGTTATAACTGATTCAGACTAACTGAGTTATGACTGATTCAGGATAATCTAGTTATAACTGATTCAGACTAATCTAGTTATAACTGTTTCAGACTAACCTAGTTATAACTGATTCAGACTAACTGAGTTATAACTGATTCAGACTAACCTAGTTATAACTGATTCATACTAACTGAGTTATGACTGATTCAGGCTAACCTAGTTATATCTGATTCAGACAAACCTAGATATATGTCATTTAGACTAACCTAGTTATAACTGATTTAGACTAATGGAGTTATAACTGATTCAGACTAACCTAGTTATAACTGATTTAGGTGTATCTAGTTATAATTGATTCAGTCCCTCTGTGTTGTATTGATTTAAACAACAGCGCCAGGCTATTGAACCCAGGCTAACCAAGTTTAAACTGTTTCAGGCTAACCTTGTGATGGCTGTGACTGTATTGGCCATCAATGTTGTTCTGCTAATCATGTGTGTGATTGCTGCACCTGCAAGAATAGGACTTGGTCTTGGACTGGAGTATGGTTCACAGGTATTCCTGTGTATCTGGTGTTTGTGGAATGGACGTCCAAACCCAAAAGATTCAAGAATTTCATAGGTGAGTATCCAACCAATAGTACATTGTATACAATTTCAGGTTTAAATTTCAAATTTTAATCATATACTTAACATACCTTTTGTGTAAAATTGTCGTGATGTTGAGCCCGAGGCCAACTTGTTCAAAGCATATTAAGCTAAACGACAGGTTAACAGAAATACAGTCAAACTTCCATTAATCAAACTTGGAAGATTCATAATTCTCAATGTGTCAAACGTAGGGCAAGTGCAGATTTTTTTCCCTATACATGTACACCACTACT